TTCTTGTTGCTCTCTTTCTAATTCTTTAAGTTATAGAGTTAGATGATTTATTACCATTTTTTCTTGTTTTTTGAGGTAGGCCTGTAGAGCTATAAACTTCCCTCTCAGGACTGCTTTCATTGTGTCCCATAGATTTTGGATTGTTGTTTTTTCATTGTCCTTTGTTTCCAGGATGTTTTTAATTTCTTCTTTGATCTCTTTGGTAACCCACTCATTGTTTAATAGCATGCTATTCAGCTTCCAAGTGTTTGGATTTTTGTTTTTGTTTTTAGTGTAGTTTATTTCTAGTATTATGCCATTGTGGTCTGAGAAGATGCTTGATATGATTTCAATATTCTTGAATTTGGAGAGAGTTTGCCTGTGACCCAATATGTGGTCTATCTTTGAAAATGACCCATGTGCACTTGAGAAGAATGTATATTCCATGCCTTTCAGGTGAAATGTCCTGAAGATGTCAATTAAGTTCATCTGATCTAGTGAAACATTTAGGATTGCTGCTTCTTTGTTGATTTTTTTGTCTAGAGAGTTTATCCAGTAATGTCAGTGGAGTATCAAAGTTCCCTACTATGACTGTATTGTTGTTAATCTCCCCCTTAATATCTTTCAGGAGTTTTTTTATGTAGTTGACTGTATTGGGTGCATATATGTTTATGCACCAGGGTTATATCCTCTTGTTGTAATGATCCCTTTAGTATTATGAAGTAGCCTTCCTTATCTCTTGTTATGGCCTTCACTTTGAGGTCTAATTTGTCAGATATAAGTACTGTTACTCCAGCATTTTTTTCATTTCCATTTGCCTGGAAGATATTTTTCCATCCCTTCACTTTTAGTCTGTGTGAGTTCCTTGTTCTCAGGTGGGTCTTGTAAATAGCATATATATGGGTCATGTTTTCTTATCCATTCAGCAACTAGATGTCTTTTGATTGGAACATTTAGTCCGTTTAAAGTTATTATTGATAAGTACTTGTTTGTAGCCATTTTTATTTTTTGTGCCTGTGTTCCTTCTTCCCTTTTTATTTCTTCTTTTTGCACCAGTCCCTTTAGTGTTTCTTGCCTTGCTGGCTTGGTGGTGATGACCCTCTTAGCCTTTTTTTGTCTGTGAAGCTCATTTCCCCTTCAATTTTGAATGATAGCCTTGCTGGGTATACTATTCTTTGATTCAGTCTCTTGCTTTGCATCACTTTGTAAACTTCCTTCCATTACTTTCTGGTCTGATGTGTTTCTGTTGAAAAATCATTTGATAATCTCATTGGATATCCTTTGTACATAACTTTTTGTCTCTCTCTTGCAGCCTTTAAGATTCTCTCTTTGTCCTGAACATTTGCCACTGTAATTACAACGTGTCTTGGTGTGAGTCTTTTCAGATTCATCTTGTTTGGGACTCTCTGTGCTTGTGTGACTCTTTTCTTCCCCACATCAGGGAAGTTTTCTGACATTATTTCTTCAAATAAGTTTTCTAACCCTTGTTCCTCTTCCTGTCGTTCTAGTACCCCTATTATTCATATGTTGCTTTGTTTCATGTTGTCCCAAAGCTTCCTTAGGCTTTCCTCTTGTCTTTTAATACTTTTCTCCGATTGCAGTTCAGTTTGGGTGTGTTTTGCTTCCCTGTCTTCTAATTTGCTAATTCAGTTCTCTGCTTCTCCTAGTCTACTGTTGAAACTTTCCATAGTGTTTTTTATTGCAGCTATATTACTCTTTATTTCTTCTTGAGTCTTACATAAGTTGTTAGTTTTTTTCATCTATCCGGTTTACGAACTGTATGGCCCTTATTCTGAATTCTTTTTCTGACATATTGCATGCCTCCATTTCACTTAGCCCCTTTTCTGGCAATTCCTCCTTTTCTTTCCTTTTGGGGTGTCTTTGTCTCCCTATTTTTGCTCTCACCAAAGGAACTAGGTGTCAAGTCATGTGGGGGCTGCTCCTTGGGTGACCGTGGCAGTGGCTGCTCCTCAGTTGGCCGCAGCTCCTCTGGTTCATGTTGCTTGCATGGCTGCTTGCAGCAGTGGTGGCTGCTCTGGCTGGGGGGAGGGGAGGTGTGCTGCTTGTGCGGCTGCTGCTCCTCAGATAGGGACAGGCTGCATGAGGCTCCTGCTCCTCAAACAGAGGTGGGCTGCTCAAGCGGCTGCTGCTTGTGTGGTCATGGCACCCTGGACTAAAGCATTGGGCCAGCCAGAGGGTAGCATGCTTCTGAACTCACAGGAGCCTGTGGCCAGGGTGGCTGAGTCTCAGTGACTGAGGGACTACAGCCAAGGCAGCAGGTCCCTGGCGGAGGTGGCTGTAGAGTCCTGGGTGGTGTCTGAGGGCATCCTGGGTGGAGGTGAGGCTGCTTTCTCAGTCACAGCAGCTCTCCCCTTCAAGAAGGCATGGCCTCTGCAGTAGAGCCTGCCACCCAGGATTGTTTGTAATGGTAGCAGAGGCTGCCTGGTTAGGCGAGCCTAGTCTTGCCTGCCCCTGAAAGTCCTGTGGTATCTAACTGTCCCTCACTCATGTGCACACGCACACACCCCACACCTCCACACACTCCCCTTTCACTCCCTCATTCACTCATGCTCTCTCCCTCACTGCAGCCATTTTCCTGCCTCTGTAGTTGGGTCTGGAGTGTTACTGACCCATTTGTGGGTGGAGTCTCCTCGCCGGGTGTCTGGTTATATCCATATTGGCCACAAAGGTACCCAGCAAACTGCCCAACCTGGGCCCCTCAAAGGACTCAGCCAGGGCTGGCCCAGTACACAGGTCAGGGGAGCTAGTGGGCTGCGTTGACCTCACATGGGCACACGCCAGCAGTTACCCCAAGATTTGTTTTTAATCATATGTGGGGCAGACACACTCCACTTTAGGGAATTCTATATGCCAGGCACCTACCTACATTGGCACTGCTCCTCTGAGCCACCCTGAAGAGGAGGCTTCTTGTCCCCATCACATAGGTGAGGGGAGTAGAAGGAAAGGGCTGCATGCCATGTGAAAGTGACCAGGTCTTGTGTGACAGGCTGACACTCCCCTCCCCCACCTCACCAAGCCTCCCATAAAGCAATTTCAGGAGAAAATAATGATCTCACTCCAACAAAGACAGGGGTTGATGGAAATCCTCAAAGGGAAAGTTGATGAGGAATAAGCTTTTCCTTCTCATTCAGGCCCAGATATGCCTGTTATTGTGTATTTACTGTGCTTGTCTTGACAGGTCAACAGTGCAATTGATGTTAGTAAGGTTAATTATGTCAAGCCAGACACTTGTGAATACTGCTGTTCAGTATTCAGGACTGCCAAGTCACCTTCTTCCCCTGATAAACACCTTCTTTCCCCCTCAACTTAACTGTGTATTATTTCATAAAGCCTGTTCAAGTAGGGCAATCGCAAACGATGGGGATTGGCTACACTCTCAGGGCCAGCGCCAGACTCTTATTCTCAGTCTAGGGCAGCAATGCTCAAAGTCTTCCCTGGAGGCACTGCCACTCTGGCCTTGCTGCTCCGCACGTCTCCTCTCCCGTGACAACCCAAAGGAGCTCCCTGACTTGCATTCCCTTGGGTTCTTGCTGGGTTTTCCTGGATGGCTTTTTCAAACTTCTCTTATCTGTGTCCAGTTCTGGGACATCCAGTGTTTTGGGGACCGAGCTGAAAGAGGCCCTAGCTTTTGCCAGTTGTCAGTACCACAGTGAGATGATATGTTCCTGTGGGAACTCCAGAAAAGAACTGCCGCAGGGGTGGGGGAGCGGGGGGCGGCTCTGTCTAGCCCAGGATCCACCACAGATGGGCAGGTTTCTGCCAGGAAAAAACCAAAGCTGGTGCAGGAGGTTTGTAGGCAGAAAGTGCCCTGAGCCTGGTGTTCGTACAGGCAGTCCCAACTAGGTGGAATTCTCCATCCACCAGGAGCCCAACAGAGTCAGAGCTTTTATTCTGAACCAAAATTGGGAAGAAGTACAAAAATAACATGTGTGGAGATCACAAAGGACATCCCTTCTCCATTCCCAAAGGCACAATAGGGACACAAAATCAGACAACATGAGTCATCCCTGTGCCAGCCGGGAGGGTGCTCAGGCCTCTCTGGATGGCCCAGCTCAAAGGGGTGGGTGCCACTCTGAAGCTCAGCTACAGGCCCAGTAAACTCCCTGGAGGCCCAATTATCAGAGAGAGCCCTTCCTGCCAGTTCTGCCTCAGGGTGCACACCTTCCCAGGAGCAGGAAAGCAAGACCTAAGCTGTAATTATCAATTCCTTGATTCAGTTTGCACCCCTTAGACACTGGAAACTTGAAGCCTCTTTCCTGGCCAGAGAGTCACCAGGCTGTGGCTGACCTTGAGAACAAAGGCATTCGTTATCTCCAATAGACCTTTTCTACAGTTCACTGGCTTGGAGATTCACCTCTTATGCTTTAATTTGCAATTATGAACCATATGCAATTCCAGAAATTGGCAATTTTTGATAAAACTGGCAGGAGGTAGGAATATTTTTCAGGATTTCCAAGAGAAAATCACACTCAGAAGATAACTCTCTCAGAATGGAATCTAAAGTGCTTCCCTCAGCCTACTGGGTGAGCTTGCCCTGCCCCCTCTCTCCCCTCCAGCCACCCTCCTTCACGCTCACTCCTCTCCAGGCATACTGTGTCTCTTGCGGTTTGTGAAATAGGCCAACCACGCTCCCACTCACTCTCACCTCAGGGCCTTTGCACCTGCTGGCCTCCTGGCAGAAATGCTCTTCCCCAGCTTTCTGCCTGCTTCATTCAGGACTCACTCAATTGTCCTTTGGTCAGATAAACCTCCACCAGACACCAGGAGCACACACTCACTTTCCTAAGTCAGCCACTGAAGCTTATCCTTTTGTTCCTATTGTATTAATATCTTCAAGTTGAATGTTAGGAAATTTGACGAATTCATATAAAGCCTTTTTGATGGTGTGTGCGTTTTTATTTAAAGGGGCAAGAGTAAATGCTGTAAATCTGTTTTATTTTGGTTTTGGTTTTCGTTCCTCTTCCAAATGTCTTTCCTTTGCTTTGCCTTCCAATTGAAAGCCATGAAGTTGGTCCCTCGAAGAAGCTTCTATGAGGCTATATTAAAAGAGCGCCCTGACATACTGGATGGCATGGACCTCGATGACAGTGTAAGTTGGATAAAAACGTGAGACCACCTTGCTTCCATGTTGGGGCAGGAAGCCCCAGGTCAGCTGGCACTGCCTCATGAGCCCTGATATTCTTCGCTTTGCTCTGTTGTTAGCACAGCCCAAATGAGCTTTCCTTATAACAGACCTACATGTCAATGACGCACATTCAACCAAAGAGGATCGTAGAACGCCTGAGGTGTTGCTCCAGGGCCTGAGTTTCAGAGGGCCCTGCTGGTGACCTAGACAAATATCCTCAAGATTGCTTTGAGTCCTGGCCAGGTGGCTCAGTTTATTGGAGCATCGTCCCATACACCAAAAGGTTGTGGGTTTCATTCCCAGTCAGGGCACATATCTGGGTAACAGAGGCAACCGACTGATGTTTCTCTCTCATCTCTCTAACTACCTACCTACCTATCTACCTATCTCCCCTACCCCCTTCTTCACTCTCTGAAATCAGTAAAAATATATATTTGAGTGAGAATTTAAAAAAAGATTGCTTTTGAAATCAGGAAAGTTCAAACAAAACATAAATCATCTAGATCTCAAGGCAAATCGTTCTGTGTAGAAACCCTTTGTAAAAATGAAGTTAGATTCTGGGAAGAATACGTAGATGTACTTTTCCCACTAAGTACAGCATAAAACCCTAGACATTACATATAAAAGAAGCATAAGAAACTTCTGAAAGGCAGAGAGAAGGCTGACTGGCTAGGGACCTGGGGACTTCATGAATGACATGGCAGCGAGTTTCCTGAGTTTTCTTTTTACTTCACGTGTCCCAGGCTGGGTGCCAGCAAAGACAGCAACCAACAACCAAACAAGCACAGACAGCAAAACGCCTAACAAAAGCCTGGTGTTTCTAACCAAAGGGTAGGAATGGGGCAGCCTAGCAAGCTAAACCTTAAACGGCCCCCTCTGCAAGCAAACACCACAACCAACAGTAGTGAACCACCTAAGGGGTCTGCAGTGCTGCTAGCACAGCCTTCGGCAGGGCACAGAACCAGCCCTGGAAGGTCAGCAGGCTTCCTTTCCCCAAGGGTGCCCAGTAACCAAGATGAGATGGACGTCATGACAGCATGAGCAAGCCTTACCTCTGTAGTATGTGGTATTGTCTCTATTGCATCAATTTCTTCCCTGCTGGCACAGCCTAGTGGCTCTACTTCCGTGTCAGACCTCCAAGACTGACCACACATGTGGACTCAGGTGGAAGCGTTATGATGCATCCTCTCTGCTATGGCTAAGAAACCTCTCAGGACTGTAGGTACTAGCTACAATCACAAGACTGAAATCGTGTATCCCTGGAAATCAGGAAATCAATATTAAGCAGATGTATTTTTCTAAACTTACAAAAGAAAAGGCAAAAAAAGAAAAACAACTAAGTTGTTTGTTTTAATTGGGAAATGCTCTGGTCTCAATTCATATTTAGCCTTAAATTTCATATTTGCCTCTATATATATTACAGGGTAGGGCAAAAGTAGGTTTATAGTTGTTCATATGAAAAATAATACAATAATTAATAGTCATACAGGAATAAAGTCTGTGTTTTGCATACTCACAACTGTAAATCTACTTTTACCCACCCTGTGTATTAATAAGAATTGCTTTTCAGGTACTGAAATACCACGCCCAAGGGAGAAAAAAGATTGCACAAGAGCTTAGATTCACTGCATAGCATTTACTAAGACAGGAAAGTAACTGGCATTTTAGAAACATTTTTCAGCAAGAGTGAAAATCTAAAGAAATTGTTTGATTTAGGAACTGGAATCATTCAGAAACCGTCAGCATGCCTGCCCATTGAGGATTTGCTGTATGGGCGGAGCTGCGGTCACAGGCAGAGGGGAGTCTCTTTGGTCACTGTGCGAGCTCCTGCATGAGCATGGCACTTTGGGAGGGTTCCGTGTGACAGGTGAGCTGTGCAGGCTAGCTCCAATCACAAGCACCTCGCCTCCTCATCTCAGGGGCTTTGCCCTGATGACAAAGTATGGCATAGAGTTGGGAGATACATTCTCCCTGCTGTCTATACCACTCTGTCCCCAAGGATCAGAAGCTTACGAGGATGCTGAGACAACAGATACTGACACTCTCGTGATAGGCAGCTATACAGCGAGGCTAAGCAGTATGTCTCCAAGCCCCGTCGTCAGCAGCAGATGCGAACAGGTGGGACCAGAGCAGGACAGGAAGGATGGAATGAATGTCACAGGAGACCTACAGCTGAAAGACTTTTGAGGCCCCTATGAGGGGATACCAGAAGCCACTGGGGTACAAACTAGGGAGAAGGAATTGAAGTCCTCCCATTTGGATCAGGGTTATCAATCAATATTTTGGTTATTCTGACAGTTCAATTACTTTGCTATTCTTGATTCACTTTGTTTGTTTTATTTCTATGACATGCCCATGAATCACAAACCCTGCTATGCAAACTCTTTTGGTTGCAAGAACCAGAGATTCACCCAGGAGTCATCTCTGGGCATGAGAGAACTCATCACTGGAGTGCCCAACACACCTACCATGATGATGATAGTTCTACTAGGCTGGGGAAGCAAATGGGTCAACCTCACAAGGTGTCCATGCTGGCTAAATCGAATGGGGTGGCACAGCCTAGGTGGGATGAGAACTTCAACTAGGTCCACCCAGTGGGTCTGTTGTGTAGTGGATACAGTGAGCACTGTATTTTCTGGTGAATAAAACATAGAATCCAAAGAAGATGCTGAGAGATCACCGGCCTAATAGGAAATTGCTCCACCCAAGAACAGGATTGTCAATAATGAGGAATTTAGAGGCAAGACACCATGGGCCTTAACCTCAACCTGGCCTGAAACACCGATTCCAGTGTTAAAAGGTAAACTGAGGTATATTTAAACATGTTAAGAGTTTATTTGAGCATACATCAACTGGAATTGTCATCATCAAACCAGAAGTGGTTGCGAATGCTTCACTGATAGGAGCTGGGAAGAGGTTTTTAGAGAGAAAAGCAGAAACAAGCAAGGAAATTATTGATTGGCCATAGCTTAAAGCTAGCTAGTTGCTTGTGTTTGGTTGTCCTTGGGTTTTGATTTTGTAACCTTGGGGCATTGACAGGCTTAGATTCTGGTTGTTTATGTAGGACACCACAGCCTTAGCGCTACCCCAGGCTAATGACCTCCTTGTTTAATTAATTTAATACCAGCAATGGGCAAAGGCTGGGAATCGACAAGCTAGATCTGAGGCATCCCAGCTTTCTCCATAGCTTATAAAAACTGGCCAAACACAGTTTTATCTTAAATCTGTCCCAGATCACCCGCAGCTCTAAGTCCATTGGTCTTCCGCTTATTATTAAAAACCAATAAGTTAATGGCATACTATACATTATCAGATGTTGAACAACAATAATGACAACTTCAGTTTCTAGGTGTGCAGGGCAACATGACAGATCCATGGATTTCTTCAACAGCAAGCCAACTTCCATCTTCTGGCAAAAGGGATCCAAAAAAGGAAACGCTTGTGAAGACCCACCTATGGGTCAGTTCTAGTTAACAGCATGGACTTGGGATAGAACAATCAAGTTTACAAAATAAAAAGGCAGCTTGCAATGTCATTACTTCGGGAGAATCTTTAAACACAGGATTGTCCACTGTAGTAACATGCCAGGTACCACACTGCTTTCTGAAGACAGTCATTGTTCACATTGAATAAATAACCAACCGCTAGGAGGTTGGTCATTCCTAGAACTCAGACAGCCTGTTAAGCTCTTAAAGCAAGAAAGCATTTTTACTTTCTATAGCCATCTCCACATTTGGAAAAAGAGCAAAATTTTGCCCTTGGCCAGGTAGCTCAGTTGGTTAGAGCATCACACAGTATGCTAAAGTTGCAGTTTTGGCAAATCAGATGTTTCTCTACCTACCTACCTACCTATCTCTCCTTTTCTCTTTCTAAAAATCAATAATTTTTTAAAATGAGCATAGTTTTCTTCTCTCAAAAGATTGCTAGAAAAAATCTTGAGGGAGTTGGGAAGTAAGTAGAGGGTATGATAATAATGGAAATATTCTTTAAAACAAATCTTGCTAGCCAGATATCTTATTCTCTGATCCTTTTGTAGCTTTTTAAGAGCTCCTATCACACAGTATTTAAGACCGTGCTCAAAGAACAGGCTGCTCACAGTGAACTGGACGAGGATACTGACATTCCCCTGACTGGCCAACTGGAAAGTGAAACCAGAAGGAAACTGAGAATTCTGTAAGTGGCTGGAGAGATGAGGTATTGGTCAGTGGGTTTAGGTAGGTTAAAGGTAGTAGTAGGGCAATGTAAATTGGGCCACCAGAGGAAAGAGCAAGGCCAGTGCCAGAAGGTCCCCTGAGTCAAAAAGCAGGCACAAGACAGGCACAAGGGCAAGGAAATTGACAAGCTTGGGAGATACAGGATAGGACCAAAGATAGGCAATGACAAAGGTTGGAAATCCAGGGAAAGAAAGTCTTGAAGAGACTATGAACTTGTACAAAAGTCTGGGGAGCAAGGCTCAAGACTCTGGGCCTTTTAAGAGAGGGGACAGTCAGGGAATGGAGATCCCAGGCATCTGCCCAAGAAATTCCCTGGCCTTATCCTGGGCTAAGCCAATGCTCTTTCCTGCTTCCTGGAGAGGGAAAGCCATGAGGTTCACTGACCTGGGAGCAATGGCCAGACCCTCTATTCAGAGTGGAGAATGACGAAGATGTGGCTGGCACCAAGCCTTTCTAGTTGGCATGACCCCAGGCACAAAATGTTCCAGATCCCCACTTGTACATCCACCCGGTGCTGCATTTCCACTCATCCAGCTGTCAAACACCTTGGTAAGCAAGTTGTTCTTAGGCCTCCCATGAGTCTATCACAAACTCTCTGGCAGTGGCGCCAAGGAACAGGCTGTGAGGGATGGGGTGTCCTGTATAATCTCCCTCGTGAGTCGAAGCTTTTACAAAAGTCAGGAAGAGAGATTGCCAGAAACTTCAGCTTTGGACTCATAGTGTCTTGGGGCCAGAGACCTCTGAGGTTTCTCTAGGAAAGGGGAAAGCAAACATCCAAGCTTTCAGATCCTTATACAACTGTACAAACAAATGCCAGAAAACATCCCAAAAGTTATTCTACCTCATGTATGACATTCTACCCCCATTCCTTCCCATTTAAGCTTATTACCGGTGCTCATTCTAATCTGATTGCACTCAACAAATATTTCCTGAGCACCTACTCTGTGCTGGTCTGTGTGTTGATCTTTACAGTAGTGTGTGCCCGAGAGCCGCTGCCATTGAGGAGCTACCTAGTAAGATTCCACTAGCTTGCAAAAGTAGACAAAGAAGGGCATTGGGTGCCTCTGTCTGGACCCTTCACTGGAGTTTTAACTCTTGCATATACTAGTATTTGGCATCCTCTCTTGGCCTGTGGAATAGGTCTCACCCCACTCACTCCTTGGTCCTCACCCTCTCACAGGTAATAGTAGGCTAGATAACTGCTCCCATCCCATTCAAAGTGCTAGCAAATAAAATGAAAACATTTCGTATACATGGCCCATGAAGAACCCACTCTCGAGTTCCGTTATTGCTTTTAAAGCACAAGTAGTAAACCTTAGCTCTCTGCCAAGTGAATTCATTCAGCCCTTCCCAGCAATTTGTTTCCTGGGTTGAATTATCATGCACTCTTTAAGGAATCTTAACTGAAAACTTAAAATCTGTCATGTTAAAGGCCTTCCTCCAGATCTAATTAAGCTGGGATGCTCACTCCTGACACATTCCCTTTCAAAAATATTCTGATCTGAGAACCAGGAAACACAGCTACCCCTGGAGGTCCCTTTAGTTGAGAGGACAACAGCCCAAGCCATTGACATGCCAGGATGACTTGCTTTGTGTATTGACATGAGAGGGCCTTAGGGCTTGAGTATTTTGAAAAGCTGTGCCTTGGTGTGGCTTTCATGGTGAGTCATTCTGAATGGGATTACTGAAAATCTTCCTGCTAAATGCAAAGGGGTTTCCAATGGCACAAACAATGTTGTTTTTTCACGTTGTTTCCAAATGTCACCTTCACTGGGATACGCACAAGGCATAGAAAAATCAAGCTTAACTCATAGACCCAGTCTGGCATTTCTGCCTTGTTCCTGCCCTCAAGCTGGTCCTCACTAAATTTATTTTAAAAGTTTGGAGGTCAGCCCAGGTGCCCAGGTTGAAGGCCAATTAGAGGCAGGGAAAGAAGCACCAAGCCTATGCCATGTGCTGTTCCTTTACTCCTCAGCTCTGATTGGAAGAATAGCTGGGTCTGAAAGAGCCGTCAGCCCAACATTCCACCTATGAAAAGGACTTGGAAGGTTCTAGCACTGGCTACACTGTGTAGCGTGACATATAAACAGGAATTTAGTCTCAGTTTTTAAAGATAACTCACATTCCTTTCAGGTTGAAGACAAACATTGAAAAGTACAAGGAAGTAATTCACTGGATTATGGAGAAACGTGGAGGTAAGGACTTCTCTACCATTTTCCATCCATGACTAGCTCTCCTGTGTGCATTTCACTGCCTCTCACCTTCTGCCATGTCCGCAAAGGAGGCAGAAGTGCTCATTCCCTCATTTGAGCCCCTACTGGTCTATTGAGGTCCTAGCTGCCAGGGATAAAATATGGAGAAAGATGGACACAGTCTGGGATCTCAACGGGATTACGCTTTTGTGGTGGGGTGCAGGTTGGTGGGGGTGGTGAAAATAGACAAGCAAGCAGGAAATTCACATATAGTATGGTTAAGGGATATGGTGGGAAGAGGATGCTATGAGACCACACAGAAATAGATAATTCCTAGATCTGGGGAGGTCCAATAAGTCATTATTAACATAAACTTTGGGAAAGAAAGAGCCCTTTTTACCACATACTGAAGGCATTTGTGGTCCAGCTTTTAAGACTTGCCAATCATGGAGCTTGCCAGTTTTTGGAGTCTAATCATGAAAAGCTTGAACCAAGAGCTTAAGCTTCAAGGCTACCTAATTTAAAAACTCAAAACCACCATATGGAATATCTTTCAAATTACCAGATCCAACTAACATAGAAATGGCAATGATAACAATGGCAAACATAAGGAATCAAGCATAGTATTTTTCTCACTGAGCCAGGACACAGCTCATATTCTCTCTCAAGGAAGTGCTTCCATTCCCAAATACCAATTTAGCCCCTGTCCTAACTCATACAAAATAATCGCTATGGGCTAGGTACTTTCACATATGTTATCTGTTCAAATTAATTTTCATAACCATGTGAAGTAGCATAAAGAAAGTAACGCTCAGAGAGTCATTGGGTGAACATGAGCCACACTCATGTCCAAAAGCTCTCAGGCCATATCCAAGGCTCATCCTTTTGGCATGTTCAATGTGTCTAGAGAAGAAAAGTGGGGGCCTTCTAAGTATAGGTTTCATGTTCTCAGTGGAGTTACCGAACCCTGGCATGGGAAATCTGGGGCAGGGAGAAGAAGGAATTGCCACTTTCAGTCTCTATAGTGGAAGGACCCTGTCTCCCACCAAACTTACACAATGGGTTAGCCCCAAGCAGGGCAGGTTTAATATGCAAGTCTTGTATTAGTCGGTAGTAAGACAATTCGATCTCCATATCCAAAGATTGAATTGTGTAAAGAGGCCTTACCTGTGTCACTCACGTATTCAGCCCAGATGGTCTCACAACACATTATTCTCTCAAGGCTGGATCTTTGAGACGCAGCTCCAGCTGTGGGAACGGTGGGCAGAGGTCTCATTCTAAGGACAGGGGGTGGCGGTGAGGAGCCTCTGGTGGTTCAGGTCCAGCTCCCAGGTCAATCAGCAGTAACAGCCTCCCAATGACCTCCTCCAACACTGTGTTGATGACAAGGGATAACTAAGCTCTCTTAACCAACCACTCCTAACCTAGTTGTGGAGGGTACCAAGGTGCCCCTTCCAGTGAAGAGCTGCCCAGCTGATAGGGTCCTAGAAGCTCCTCCCCACTGCTCTGGCCACTGTTGTGCCCACTGGTTGTCAGACATCCACCCAGAGTCACTTGGAGCAGGGATTGTTCTTCAACTGTCCTTACTAGTTTAGTTCCATTTTTTCAGTTGGGGGAAAAAAATGGACAAAAATGAAAATAAAAAGAAACTTCTTGTTGCTAAGAAAACTAATGCTTTAAGAATTTAAATTGTGCTTTGAATGCTTTAAGAGGACCCAATAAAAAAAAATAGCTTTTTTAAAAAAAAGTGCTTGGAACTATATATGCACCATATCTAAAAGATTGGAGAATATATAGAAATGTTTTTAAAACTTTATAATTCTATGCTCAGACTATTTAGAATTTTCCAAAATTGAAAATTAGATATAATAAATCATGAGTGTGGTTTGAGCAAAAATGATCACAGAATCCATCATCAGACCCACACACCAAGAAAAGACCTTGCCCTACATTAAAGTAGAGTGTTAATATAGATTTATGTTTTAAGTTCAAATAATATGTTTAAGGTATGTTTTCTTTTGTAATGACTCCCCACTTTAGCCTATTTTTTAATTAATTGAGTTAGCAGCCACGCTTGTTATTGTCTTGGGGCTAATGTGTCACCCCTCGCATCCCAAGTCTGGACTGGGTGGTCTTCACATGGTATCTGGCATCTAGCACTGGGCTGGCATATTGCAGGCCTTTAATAAACAGGTGTTAAATGAATAAGTAAATAAATAAGAGTTCGAAATTCAACCCAGCTCTCTCTTCTTGCTCTTTCCTGGCAGCTTTCCTTACTTGGGAGAATATGGCCCATGTCCCAAACCCCCAAATTCTCTTGAGAAATAGATCTATGTTTTCTTTCTCTTTTCTACCAAAGCCATATTCAGAGATTCAGATATGGTTACTCGCACATTTAATTTATTGAGCCAAACTCAGAAGCCCACGACAGAAGGAAAAAAACCTCACCGTATTCGTCGTAAAAAGAAATTAGATACAGAAATAGATACAGAGTGGATGAAGAGCAGCACTGAGGTAAGTGTGGCAGTGGTATTTTTATTTTGTGCAGGTTTTAAGGCTCAGGTGGGATACTCAGACCATCCAGGAGCTGTCAAAGCCAATACACAATGTGAATACAAGAAAAATGTGTTCAATATATGGAGGCACATCGTGGGTTATCACAAATTGACTAGGACTTTTACTAGGACTCACTGAGACTCTTCTCCCTAAAGGGCCTATATTTGGCAGTTAGGTGAGGTTGGGGGAGGGGTAAAGAAAATATATGTTATAATATATAGGTCCTTCTCCTAATAAATGTTAAACCCATGTTAAAAAGTAATTACATAGTGAATGGATAAATAAACTGTGATACATCCAAACAATGGAATATTATTCAGTGATAAAAGAAATGAACTATTAAGCCATAGAAAGACATGGAGGAGCCCTAAATTCATATTACTGTGTTAAGGAAGCCAATCTGAAAAGGCTACATACTGTATAATTTCAACTACATACCATATAATTTTATCTTTGAACATGGTGGGGATTATGGGCACCAATGTGCTGTGCATTTGAAAATCAAGTATAACTTAAGTCAGCCCTCCGCATACATGATTCCCAACTGAAAATCAAAAATACAGCTGACCATTGAACAACCTGAGTTTGTACTGCACGGGTCTACTTATATATAGATCAGTGGGCCTGCACAGTTCAAAACCATGTTGTTCAAGGGTCAACTGTATGATATCTGGAAAAGGCACAATTATGGGGACAATAAAAAGGTCAGTGGTTGCCAGGGGCTAGGGAGGAGACAGGAATGAACAGGTGCAGCACAGAAGAATTTTAGGGCGTGAAAATACTCTGTATGATACTATAAGTGAATGCATGTCATTAGACATTTGTCTAAATCCATAGAAGGTACAACACCAAGAGTAAACCCCAATGTAAACTATAGACTTTGCATGATAATGATGTATCGATGTAGGTTCATTGACTATATGAATATACACTAAGGTGCAGGATGGTAACAGTGGTGGAGTGTGTGTGTGTGTGTGTGTGTGTGTGTGTGATAGGGTGGGAGATATAGGGAATCTCTGTACTTTCTGCTCAATTTTGCTGTGATCTGCTCTAAACATAAAGCTTTTTTTAAAAAAATCAATCACATACTAATATTTATGAAGATGGATACTATGAAGTTATAAGTGAAAACTAGTCTCAAAATATTGGTCATTTAGAGTGAGTTAATAATCAGGTCTGAAGCTCAAGAAGGAGACATTGATGTGGGAATTAGAAAGATGTGATAGACTTATGTCTTCTGTAAATATCTATTGAGAGTCTACTATGTCAGGCCCTCTTCTGGGTGCTGGAGATACAGGGGTAAACATCACAATGCTCTCGTGCCCATAGAACTTCTGTTTCAGTTGAGGAGATAGCCAATATAAAAAAAAAATACTATTCAGTGCTATGCCAGGTGTTGGTAGGTGCCATGGGAGGGGGGGGGGCAGCATAAGGGGCTCTTGAGTTGTTGAGCGAGAGAGGAGTTGCTCTAAAACCTGCAGGGCAATCTCAGAAATGCCCTTTGAGCCTAGGCATGCATGAAATGAGGGAGTGAGTATGCAAATACCGGGTGGAAGGGCATGCTAACCAGAGCAAGCAAGGACAGCTGCGAGAGGAATAAGCAATGAGCCTCAGTGCCCAGATCAGGTAGAGCCATGTGGGCACAGCAAGACTCTGGATTTTATCCTGGAATGAGGTGAAATATTGGAAAGTCTAGAGCAGGAGACAAACATCACCTGGCTTAGTCTCTAGAAGAATCTTTCTGGCTGTTGTGTGGAAAATACATTTAAGGGACAAGAATAAAGGCAGGAAGTCCAGTTGGAAGGCACGGCATAAACTCAGGTGAGAGGTGATGGGCGTCTCTACTAAGTGGTGGCAGGAAAGATGGTGAAAGTAGTCTGATTTGGGATATTTTTTGAAGGGAGAACCAGGAATTGGTTTCCTGTTGAATTGGAAGTGGGGTGTGAGAGAGAAAGAAGACAAAGAAAGAATCTAAGAATTCTGGCATGGGCAACTCAGCAAATGTTATTTTATCATTTACTAAATTGGAGAACACAAGGAAACTAACAGAAACTAACATTTATGTAACACCATGCAGGTTACAAAGCACTTCCACATATAATGTAAGTGTAGCTTTTCCCAACCATTCCTGTGTGATGTGTGCTATTATTATCCTCACTTTACAGTTGAAGAAAGTGAGGCCCAGAAGAACATACATGACTATCTCAGGACACTGAGCCCGTGTTGGCCAAGGCAATGCTCATTCGCTGCTGAAACATATGATTCCCAAAGCTAAGTGGCTTAACAACCAGATGCAAGGTTCTTGCTCATGTCACATCTCATCTGAGTCCCACAGCTCTCTGAGCATCCCTCCTAGAGGCTGGCTCTGAGGGATCTGGGTCCTTTTATCATGGGTCTCCACCATACTGGAGTTCTTTGTGTCCAGCATGGACAGGAAGTGAGCCAAGATCCAGGCTTAAATTTCATTAACCAAAATGAGTCACATGACCTCACCTAGATGCAAGAAGGCTGGGAAAAGTACTTCTGCTGTGTGTCCAGCAGAAAATGAAAACACTTTTCACTAAGAGGCAAAACAATCAAACATCTTCGAGTAATGAGGGTAAAAACGTAAGAGCTAGAAACGGATACTGTCAGCCCAGGTGTGGACACTCCTGGCCTCCCTTCATCTCTTGGGCCTGCATGTAGAAAGGAAGTCAGTGGGACCAGTCAGAACCTCTACAGACAGAAATTAAGGGAGAGCGGGGGTCTCTTCAGGTTGGAAGCCCCCAGAGAAGCCTTCAGTTTTCACATCTCCCTGGCCTCACCTCCAATCCATAATGAAACCTTCCTTGGTGTCTTGCTCCAACCAGCTAGTGAACTCCTGCCCTGTCCTGCCTTGGACCTTTTGGTCCTGTAGTGTCTGTCCCTCAAGTAAACTTAACTGTGTTCCCTGTAGCCAAGAGGAAGGTTCTCACCATGATCTCTAAGCAGAGGATCCTTCCTAATTTATCATTCACATCAGACTGCCCGAAAAGGCTGTGAGTAGTGGGACATTTGGTTGTTTTTGTTTTTACAAATGGCGGTAAGTTGGGAGTAGGCTGCTGAGTCAGGCAGAGCACTGCTTGTGTGTGCACCCGGCCAGCCCGGAGCCAGTGGCTCCACAGCGGTCAGGGTGAGTTCACGGACAGAGAGCAGCAGAGCAAGCTGAGACAGCAGCTACCTCACAGCGCAGGGCCTGCCTGTGAGGCACCGCTTTTTCTCTAGAAGAATTAAAGGAAGGTCCAGAGATGTAGTATCTTACCTTTTAGCTCTTAGCCTCATACTCTGTTCCCAAGAAAATAGTGATGGGATTCAGGCTTTTAGATATGCCACTTATTATGCAGTTATGCGCTGTACAACAATGCAGCATGTTTGTGGTGATGCTGAGGTAAACAAACAGCCAGTCATATAAAAGCACAGCGCATTCAGTTACGGTAGTAGACACACCATCTATGGCTGCGTGTGTGCACTCTGAGATGTTTCCACAAGGATGCAGTTGCCAAGAGATGCTACTTCTCAGAACGTGTGCCTGTCGTTAAGTGACACATGATGATGATCTCCTAGTGAGAGAAAAATGGAAGGACTTTACCTCTGTGTCAGAGATTTTGCTTTTCCCATGGGGTCCTCACCGTTAGGAAAGTGTCATTATATGACAAGTGAGTTTGACAAGCAAAAAGCATCTTGAGAAATCTGGCTTTCAGGTGGCTTTTGAAAATAAGGCCTACAATACAAATATCCTCTTCCGTGAGCAAGATCTAGAAGCTTTTTACAGGCCATCAGCAGCAAACCAACCACAGATATTCTTACAAGGCACTTTTTTTAGGTTAAAAAAAAGAAGAAGAGGAGCATTAATTTGCAAACTAAATATGAGCGGTGGCTGAGAGCTTAATGGCCAGAGACAGCCTGTTTGCACTAACGAGCCTGCAGGTTAGTGGGAGGGGCTCTCCTCTCACTGGTAACGTTGTGTAAGCCCTTAGCCTTTCTTACATGGGGACACTGATAGTGCCAGTCTTGTGGGGTCACTGTGTTGTGGAAGTAAAGTGTTACCGCAGTGCCAGGTGTGGGGATAGAGTCTGTTACAGGACCTTCCCTCCCATAGTGGTTTTCACCCAGATGCCCAGGTTCCTGAGCACTTACAGGCTGTGCCATAGAGAGAACACCCACAGTGACTCCCCAAATAGCTGCCTTTCTTTCTTCTATTGTCTTAGATGTTGGCATTCTGCTGCAAGCTTTCTTTATTTTCCTTCTTTGTTTTATTTTTATCACCATTTATCCCTCTTCCATCTCCACCCACCCCTCTCACCCCCACAATCACCACACTGTTGTCCTTGTCTAGGGGTTCTTTCTCTATTTTTTTTCTTTTTTGCCTCAATCCCTCTACCACCAGCCCCAACACCACCCCCACCGGTGCTGTCAGCCTGCTCTCTATCTATGAGTCTGTCTCTATTTTGTTTGGTAGTTCAGTTTGTTCATTAAATTTCACATTATGAGTGAAACCATATGATACTTGTCCTTCTCTGATTGGCTTATTTCACTTAGCATGATGTTCTCCAGGTCCATCAATGCTGTCACAAAGAGTAAAATTTTCTTCCTTTATATGCCCAAGTAGTGTTCCATTGTGTGCGGTAAATGTCCTATAGCTGTTTTACCCAGTCATCTACTGTTGGACACTTGGGCTGCATCCAAATCTTGGCTATTATAAATAGCACTGCAATGAACATAGAGGTACATCTATTCTTTCAAATTAGTGTTTCAGGTTTCTTTGGATAAATTCCCAGAAGTGAAATTTCTGATTCATAAGGCAGTTCCGTTTTTAATTTTTTGAGGTATCTCTATACTGCTTTCCACAGTTCTTCTTTGAAGGTTTACAAAACTCCCCAGTGAAACCATCCAGACTATAGCTTTTTTTTTGTTGTTTGGAGTTTTTTATTGCTGCTTCA